AGGCGGATCAGATATGATTGGCAAGGAGACTGCGGGAACAAAGAATGGTTCAAAGAGAGTTCGGGTGTCGATCCGGTGTTCCGTCAATGCAAAGTAAAAGCAGTATGGCTATGGTGGAATGCAATGTAGGAATAGTTTGATGGATTGACAATCAAAGAAAACACTGCAGAAGATGCAAAGAAGACAAAGCAAACAAACAACAGACAGAGGGCCCTATTTGAATTGTCGCGATGGCTGCCAGCCTCGAGGATTCTGTGCACATTCCTTCTGCTCTAAAGATGGGAGAGGAATGTACATTGAGGAGTCGGAGAGGGCCTCGATATGGCCCACCTGATCCCCGGTGCGTGATGCGAATGATTCAAGACAGCACCCCAGATGCCCATTACCAATGAGAAGGTATGGAAAAGCAAGTGGCTGATGCAAATATCCTACCCTTATCCACTCTCTGGGCAAAAGTGGACTGGGTTGTCGTTGGCCACCCGCTGGAATGCAACCCTCCCTATACCAGAACCAGAAAGTGGAAGAATAAACAGAAGAGGAATGTGTGGTTCTCAGCAGTTAGGTATAGCGCACCACCTTGGGGAGAGCTCATGACAGCTGCTCGATAGCGGTCCATGGGACGAGAGACGATCATGGGAAATCCGTTAGCTTGAGCGGTATGATCCGTAAGGAACCAGAGCAAAGGATCCAGGATGGCGAAATGCCAATATCAGCGTCCATCTGGTCAATCCCAAGTGTTCAAAGTGTAAGCGTCATACGGTTTTTCCTACACCGTCAGCACGCATCACAAACAGCACACTAGCCAGCACAGGGCCACAATGCCCTGGTCTTTTCCTTTGACTCTTTTGGATCCTGCTTGATGGTTGATGTTTCAGTGGAGCTGTTGGTTAGCAATGATTCGCTCCCTTCAACGGCACAGCCGTCGATAAGCTTGTTGCGAATGTAATGTGTGTCGGAATGTGAGGGCTGGGAGGAATGCGCGCCCACAACAACAATGCAGAGAAGCAGCCTGGCTTCCGGGGTTTAAGGTGCACACACAGTTCTAGCAGCAGTCAGTCTCGAGGCACGGCCTATGCGAAAGGTCCGCGCGATTGCCCTCATGCCATAATTTCTAAAATTATCCTGCTCTATACACGTAACGGATCTCCACTAGGTGAGGGAAGAGTTAATTCCCGGCTTAGATCGTCATGGCTTGCAGACTTTGCCCTGTCAGAAGTGATTTCAAATTATTTAGAGCGGTATTCAATGAGAATCAACCTTTAGGAGGCATGAACCCACTGTGCCATGGTGTGATGCGTTCTTTGTTCTCTGCGGGAAAGCAACTCATGTGGTTGGCAGGCCCAGAAAGTTTGATCCGTAGAAGGAATCTCATGTCAGAGTTAGGTTGTTCTCCCCAGCCAATTTCTTTGTTCTCCAAGATCTTTTTTTTTGTCCCATAGCCATGTAGTAACTGCGAAGCTCCCAGCTACAAGGACACACATGATGTTCAGGCGTTGGGAGCTAACCTTGTGTAGTGATTCCTCAGTCCATTAAACTCGAAGGAGCGAGGGCTAAAGATAGGACAACCGTTCAGAAACCAGAATAGGAAGTGCGAGCCTTGTTTTGGCCTTGTCAAGTCTAGACAAGATCTGTCTGAAAGCGTCGCTGAATGTTCTGTCAGAGCTTAGAAAAATTAGGTTCTTGCAAGGGGGATCCTCCTTGAGTTAGTAGTTAGGTAGGGACAACAGCAAGCCACAAGAAAGAATTCCATGGCTAGTGGTAGTAACTTGGTGTCAACAAAGCATAACCACTGTTCAAATTGTTGTGAAGCTTAAACCCTCAAAGAGAGGGCAATAGAGCACGGTTTCATTATCACGAAAGAAACATCTTCGATGATGGATTGGCGGGCTTAGTAGTGGGAAATAATTCGAGTCATGCGTAACAATCTGCTATGACATAATATGAAAATTTGGGCCATTGGCTCTAGTATTATTCAGTTACGATCAGCATTTTCAGTGGCAGAGATGAGTGTGTGTTCAATAAAATCCTTGGAGATATCTCGAATTTGTCACAGACACACTCATGATCATAACTAATCACAGAACTCATCCTTCTTAATACCGGAGGAAATTTACTCCGGCTCTGGTCAGCACTGCGGCCGCTAAGCCAATTGTGGGAAGCGTTAGGCTAATTGCATTGGGAGGCAACAAGAGGTCAGGTGCCGATGACGGAAATCTGACTCCTCGCAGCCGCCGCGCAGTTGACCTCTTTCCTCCCCTTCTCCCAAGGCACTGGCACTGTATATTGTGCTCAACTTCCTTGGCTTTATCCGTCGCGGTTTCTCTGGCTCGACGTGGAGCGTCGATGTCAGTCTATATCTGAGATTTCTTCGTACGAAAGCCGTCACCAACTTTCGATTGTTACCCCTCTGACCCCCGCTGTTGCCGGAACATCCCACGCAAGTGTGGGTATGACTTGACAAGGACGACTTGGCATCATCAAGGACTCAAACTGATCCCAACTGCTTGCATAAGACACAACCCGTTATTATCGCGATTGAGATACACGAGGCGGAAGTTTTAGCAGTACGCAACGCGTTGTGCTTCCAAAATATAACATACCGGCAACCTCGCGTCCTATTTCACTTCATCATTCTCTGCGACAGCCTATATGTCTTACACCAACCAGACTATCAGAACCAGATTTCTTTTGCAGGGCAGACAAGGCGACAAAGCGAAAATTTCGATTAAACGGAAATCAGTCGATCACAATTGCATGCTCTATAATCATCATATTGCTCGACTGGTCAAATAAAACTTCAATATCATCAGGTGCTTCTGCAATGGGTCTCAAGTTCATTCCAACTGAGGGGGTCCTCGTCTGCCTCCCTTAGGTGAATAATTAGATTCACACCCAAGCTTCGCCATGGACTCCCACCGATTCTTCGGAGGCCTTCGAAGCCACACCTTGAGATCACTGTACTTCCAACTTCTCTCCTTGCACCAATATCCAATCTGCGAACCTCTATCTCATTGAGACGAGGATCGCAATATTTTAGTCACACTGTGATTTTTTTTTTTTTTTTTGTGACGCGGTCTTGCCTCCAAGAAATTAAAGGCTATTCAGCTCACCAAGATGAGCGCGCACACATTGAATAAGAAGTCCTGGGAGTCTCTCTCGTCAACTTTCTCCAACCTCGAAATATCCGTCTCCCAGGACAGTTGCTACGCCTCGGACGAGCTCTCCATCAGTCCAACAAATCCTATCACTGCTGGCACGTCGCTAGCCTCCTTTACGCCAGCCCGCCAGACTTCTTTGCACTCGCTATTGAAGCCAATTTTGAAAAGGCCGTATTCTGATATCGAGGAAGATGAGGAACCTGAGTCTGGCTACGGGACAGACGATTCTGACTACGATTACGCTTCTTTTTCCGATGAACATGACGACGAAATGTATGAGGTTTCCACATGGGATGAGGCCTCGGATGTCTCGGATGCCATGTCCGAAACCTGCGGTGACGATGGTGAATCAGTGGACGGTTCATTCATTTCCTTCGAATCCGTGGTGCGTTTTGACACCAATGTGCGTTATATCGAGGCGCCAGAGCCGCAGGAAGAAGAGGCCGAGACACCGCGAACCGAATTAACCTGCCATGAATTAATGGAAATGGCGAGGACATCTGGCTCTCTTCGGCTCCAGGGCGGACAAGCCGCCGAGTCTGATTCGAGTGAAAAAACCCTCGAATATGATGAGCTCAGTGACTCAATCAAGCAATGGCCAGAGGAGCACCCGAGTGAGATTGTCGACTTGGATAAAAGATTATTCATTGCCTACATCAACGGCATCAACGGGATTGCCGAGCCCAGGTACAACGCGCGTCTCCGCGAAAGAATTGATGATATCAGAAAGGGACACACCCAATCTCCATACCTGGAGTCTGATAATGCGCAGGGGATGTACCTCGATAATGTACTGAACCACGTGCTTGGTACATTCCGCAACATTATTGTTCAGGAGGAGCTTGATGAACTGGCCACTCTCACTGAGCGTAGGGGATCCCGGCAACATACTGAGGCGACTGAAGGACTCGATAACAGGCTACTGGATAAGATTGAACATCTTCTTTCTGAGAGACTGGCAGGGGATGATGTCAAAATCGGCCGGGATGAGCTAAGCTTTTTCGCTGGCGGCGTTGCTTATGCCCTTCAAAATTGGACCTCGTATACAGCGCACTGAACGAGGCTTGTGGACCGGAAGCTCTTCTACGCTGATCGATAAATTAAGAATAATGGCTATATGCACTCAAAAACGTTATGAAGTTATGTACATAAAAGTCCACGTCATTTCGGGTACTCGAATATTATTTGCCTGCTTACTTTCATTTCTGACTCCCTTCATCCTGATTGTAGTGTATTCCTGGACCACTTTCTATTCTAGAGACGCCTGTCCTTTCCTGACACCATCATGCAATGCAGCGTCGAAGACTGGCTCTAATCGTTAGACAGGCGGTTAACTAGGAACTATCCGTTCAGTCTCATAGCTCTACCGTCTACCATCTCATAATGCCAGGATGTTCCATGACACAACTTACATGGATCAACCCAGACACATTGATTAATGACTGTTGACCACATGTGACCAAACACTGTGAAACGCTCCAAGTTTGGTCAAAACAGGACGAAGTTCGACTCATGACCCAAGGCTGATTCCGATTCAGACTAAGAAGTCTGAAGGGCGCTAGCATTGTTCGGTCTCAAGTAGTGTTGGAATGAGAAGTGGGTTGCGTCTCTTGCATTTTTCTCAGATTATGAGCAGTGATATCTGGGAAGCCTTGCTGGTGTATACAAATTGTCGCAGGCATATTGATAGACAGTCTTCCAGCTACCCGCCGCGAGCCCTAGACGATGCCAACTAGTATCATTGTGATATGGCGGGACGCCATAACTCTCTAGCGTGAATAAAAAATCATATGGTCTTTTGTTGTGTCGCACATTGAGATCCAAAAAAAAGCAAAAAGAATATGGTAAGACTGGGAGTCGAACCCAGGCCTCTTGCGAGAGTGCATGACAAATCTAGTTTTCTAGAAGAAGCTAGTACCAGCTTGAGTGCACCACCTTAACCACTCGGTCATCTTACCATTTTGGGTCGATGTTGGCGACATTTTTAACATTGTCAACTACCCAACCAAGGAGGCAAAGGCAATGTTAATAAAGGAGCTGAGAGGACCCTTGGAAGGGCACAATACGGTAGTAATAATGTTGTTGATTTGGGGATGCTTAGGTATGCTGAGAAAAGATTGTCTGGACATACTAGTTAAGTTTTGATCAGTGCCCTCGGATACGGAGAACTTTATTTGACAGATAGTATCTCAGAATTCATAGCAAGATGCCGGCAATATTTGGCATAGTAATGGTAAGATGACCGAGTGGTTAAGGTGGTGCACTCAAGCTGGTACTAGCTTCTTCTAGAAAACTAGATTTGTCATGCACTCTCGCAAGAGGCCTGGGTTCGACTCCCAGTCTTACCATACATTCTTTTTTCTTTTCTTTTTCTTTTCTGTTTTCTTGGCACATTCTCAATGCCTACCTAACTTTCAGTCCTGGCCTTTCCAAGGTCCATTATAGGACCCAAGACCTAAAGATCTAATTCTTAGTCAAGTTTGTTGCCCAATGAATGGACGCTGCTAAAAATGCATGTAAGATCGTATGTGATCAAGTCAGCCTGCGCATACTGTCCTGGAGGCTGTCGGTGCAGTCATCTAACTCCAGTGTCAAAAGGTTAACAGAGCGAGTACCGAACTTCAGTGGCTTGGTTTGCTGGCTCTTGCGCAGTCGCTCAGCTAGTCAGCCCTAACACAATGTTTAGCAGCTGGAGATCCCGAAATGATTACGTTTCCTGCCTAGGTGAATCAGACCAATTATCCATGTCCACTAGGTACTGGAGAGTCTCAAGATAAGCGAGTAGATCCATGATTAACAGTTTAACAGTCCCACTATTTAATGCCCTCTCGCCCAGGATAACGACTGTGTCGGGAGGGAAGCGTGCCAATAAAATGGTCCGAATGCACAATTAATATGGTATGCTCTCCGATCTCGATGAGCCATTTACACTCCGGAGTACTGTATCAGCTGAACTAGTTATCAACTACTCGGCTGCAAACCATGGTTCATAACCTTTTCAGCTAAGTCGCCATCCTGGATACATTTCCAGACCCGGCAAATCGATAGGCCGTTAGTGAGTCTGTCTGACTCGTGGATAGATTCATTGGTTAAGAGGCGACACTGGTGATCCACAAGTTGTATTCCTCCAGAGCAAGGCTTGAAGGCGTTCTGAGGACCACGTGTGGCTTACACTAAATGATTTTTTTACGTGCGAAATATGATTACAACTCTTATGTCATCTTCGAATGTGAGTTGATGATACGGTCATGCAAAGTTGAGACAAATGAGAAGTTACCAGGTACTCTCTGTGTAACTGCTTGCTTGTTACAGTCAAGAGTCAAGTGTAGAGAGTTGATCTTAGAAGGAATGGGACTAAGAGCGATCTTCGACTTGACATGCGATCTATGGAAATTGCAGAGAGCCATGGAAATGATGGATTGCTATTTGCTGCAGCTGGTGGATCACCCCCATCGGCGTTGGCTAAGGTACCTTAATAGTCTGAAAAAAGAGTTTTCAGCGGATGATATTATGGAGTGTCTAGATACGGAGTCACCTACCATTTCGAAGGATTGTCACTTCAAAATTTGTTATGGTCGGAAAGGCCGTCTTAAGCAAGTCTGGAAGAGAAAAAGCAAATAAAATCCGATTGAGCTTGATTAGTGCTTCTTATCGTGGCAAATGATCGGGAATTCGCAAATTAATTGCAGGGGTGTCTGTGTATTCTTCTCTGCTTCTTCTCCTTTTCCATCCAAATTCGGTTTCTTCCCCTGACCCTGGAATCGGGACGCTTAGATGGTGGGGCTGTTTCTGATCCACTGCGCTTTCGTCTTTTTGAATTCGGCCCCATTCATTCTTTCCCTACTTTGGACTGTTACCTTAGAAGTCACCTACCTAGGTACTCCGTATCTCTTGCTTGTAGACCATGCAAACCAGGTTGATTCTCGGTTTCCGATACTGTTGCGGAGTATAGTACTACTATGACCGAGGATTCATTATTTACACCGTACCTCTGGAGTTACCACTACAAGGTGGGCTGATAGACAAATGTACAGAGTGGCAACAGCCGGTGTCGATCAGGACCAGTCCCTCGTGTTGAGTGAAATTGTATCCGACTCGTGGGAAGGTTGGCCATGCTGCGGATGTACGAGGACTAAGAGTATCTACATTGGTTCATAGAAATGTAACCTCATCAAAACTACCTTACTTTACAGACGATTGCCATATGTGATACTTCTGACGTTAGAGCCATGAGAGCCATGAACTTTGTTGTAGTCTAGACACTTGCTATCCAGCATCATTATCCCTGAATGCCTAATATAAGGATGAACATTATTATTTCCTTCCCGTCATCTTTCTGCTACTACTGTTCTCCACTCCCACTCTTGATCCCAATCCTCAAACCTCAATGGTAGAAAGACCGTCTCCACCTCTCCTGATTTGCAATATTTACCTCCGAGCACCAAGCACTTCCCGAAAACCTACCTTGCGATAGTCTGGGCAACTCATACCCGTTTGAACTAGTACTCTGTAGTTACCAAGTTATCCGGAAGACCTCCTGAATTCAAAGTTTCGCCAGTGCCCAGTGCAACTCCAGATTCTTATTTTCCTCTTCCTTCTAGCTCTCTTTTCGTTCCCTCCTCCAAACTTAGCCAGTCCATTCTTTCACATACTCTCTTTATCAGCTATACACGGTTTTCTTCCTTTCGCTCCTCAGTATCCGACCACTGTCAACTCGCTGGAATGAATGAATGAATAGCTACTCCCTTTGAACAGCTGACGGGTAGGTTCTTGGTCCATTGTCCCATCTCCAACACTTTCGTTTGCGTTGCTATTTGCGTACCCATAGTGTTTTAGCAGCCGCAAGAATATGAGCCTCCCTAAAAAGGAGGAAGTGCGCACAGCAACTTCTTCTGACTACAAGGCTGACGGAATGCTAATTATATTTGGCTCTTTCAGAATGATCTAGCGACTCCGTTCTGTATTTTCGTATATCTCTTCAAAGAGACCCTCCTTCTACTCGAAAGCCTCCGGAACCGCGGACGGCCGCCATCAACCGCATGCGATCAATATAAAGAATCATGCAGCACATCAAAGGGCCCGAATTCCCCGAGCTGGCAAGGACACTGTCGCGCTCACGCAGCACTAGCATGTCCAGCGACTCCCAGCTCTCACGCATCCACCTTCTCTCTCCCCCACCTGTGAACCCTCCGCCCTCGTTCATTGCACCATCTGCAGCGGCTCAAATCATCACCGCTGACCAGGAGTTTAACACTGCGGACTTTGTGACTAGCGAAGAAGACAATGGTGCTAACGCGAGTGCTCTTGTCACCCCAGAGGCTCTTTCGGCTCTGAACGGGTTTCTCGACCACCTTCTTTACAACATTCTGGCAACCGCCAAGTCAACTCAATTGGCATGCATTCGACCGGCGATAGCCGACGTCCTCAAACCGCGACTCGCGAAAGAAGTCGTCTCTGCTGCAGATGATGAGCTGCGTGAGTACATGGGCGGCGAAGAAGATGAGCAATCTGAATTTCGCGGCGGGCAGACTTCCGGCAATGACTTTGACCTGGTCCGCTCCTGGAAGTTGACTCGGCTTCGATGTATGGTGTACACGAGGTTGGGCGACATGGAGGAAGACGATGAAGACGAGTACATCGCGCAAGACCGGCTTGTCGAGTCTGACGATGGGATTCCGCCGAGATTCAACAGCCACGTGGGCAACATCACTCCGGCCGCCGCGATATTTCTAACGTCTATCATCGAGCACATTGGAGAACAGGCCCTCATCATTGCAGGTGAAACTGCACGGTCCCGGTTGTCTTTGAAGCTCAGCGACAATCATGACGAAGTGACCGAATCTGGCGCAGAGCGAGGCAGTATGGATAGGTTAGTGGTGGAGGATCTCGACATGGAAAAACTAGCTTTGAACCCCACCCTAGGAAGACTGTGGAGGACCTGGAGAAGACATGTTCGAACCCGTAGCTTATCTCGGACGGTTTCGAGGGAGTCCTTTCAGCGTCGCAGATTGACTGCACCCTCGGCTGGCAGCAGAAAAAGCAGCATCGTTACTGTCGATGAATACCCACCCAGTCTGCCCGTGTCACCGGGCGTTGAGCACAACAAGGAGCTTGATCCGGCATCTGTCGCTCTGCCAATGAGCGAGCACGATGTTGAAGAGATTGAGATCCCGGGATTTGTGGCTGACTTGGATGGCAGCGAAGTGCATGACATACACGAGGTTCGGACCATGCAAGCTGTCGTAGCTCACAAAGTGCGACCTCGCAGCCTTATGGTACTCACCCTCGCACCTCCAAAATCCCCTTCACCCACAGGGAACTCCCCGATTACTCCACTCAGCGCACAGAGTGCCAGAGTTACTCGTCACGTTCGATCGCGGTCACTACCGAGCACCTCGTACCCGGAAGAGGATATTCCAAACGATGTCCCGGCTTCTCAAGCAAATTCCCCTTCCACCACCGAAGAACAGAAGCGCTTGGAGACGATGTATGAGCACGATGAGGATGACGAACCAGCGGTGCCAAACAAATCAGTCTTACGGAAAACTACAGTGACCCCACAAGTCGAGCAGCTTGAAACAGGCTATTCATCTGGTGAGCAGAAAGGCTCTGTTGTTGTGCAGGATGCGGCCACCGCATCTTCACCGTCGGCGGCGTCAGTTGACGCCGTCACAAGTCAAGCGAGTAGCACTGATACGTCAACGGCATCATTGAGCGATGAGCAAGAGTTAGTTTCAGAGGTTATCGAAGGACGTGGGTTATGCGAAGCGCCAAAGCTGGCCGCATTGCAGCGACCAAAACGGGTTACAAATAAGGATGCTTCTCAGGGTACCCCTGAATCGCCAGCGGAAGAAAAAGCGCTGCGGGCTGTGACTGTCGTTGGCCATGAACTGCAGATGCAAGGGGGAAGCTCCAAGCCATCCCGCCCTGCCGGCAGCACTGACGCCTCCAAAACCCCCGACGAGGACTTAACCGCCGCGCAAGCCCCTCCTGCCAGGGCGTCTGAATTTACCGCGGACAGCAAACCCTCAACATTGGCACCGGTCACAGCCGAATCCTCTAGAAAAGAGGTCACCGAACCGGTTTCCACAGCCGGAGAGGCAATTCTTCCTGATCGTCCGCGGACTCGGCCCGTGCCTGTTCCCTTGTCCTTGAACACCACAGGCCAGCAGTCTTTCGGGCCCACGAGCCCGGGATCAGCTACCCCTGTCAGTTCTGGGACTGAGCGCGCAGCGGTTCAACGGATATCACGCCCCTCAACCTCGGTAGCCTCGTCTACGTACCAAAAATCACGCCGGTCCGACAGTTTTGGCAGCCATCGGGAGAAGCGTCCAGTAACTGCCGGGTCAACTACGTCGCAGGTTTCGAGCAAGCTCAAGGGCCTTATTAGTCGCCAAACCGACACCGCTACTTTCCTTGTTCGCAGCTCTTCAGAAACCAGTAGAGCATCCGCTGTCACTCATGGCTCAGTATATGATGATAAATCGGGATTGGATGAATTGATTCAGAGCGAGGAGACAATTCATTATACCCTGACACCCAAAAACATGAGGGATATAGAGGTTTGTTCAAACTGAAAACCCTCTTTTGCAGACCCCCATAGCTGACCCTTGAAAAGGACTTGGACTCCCCCAGACGGCGGCCTCAGCGATCACCAACCGCGGATTTGGCCGATTTTCTCAAAAATACTGGCCCTCCTGGAAGTGAAACACCTAGGCCAAGGACATCCAAATCATCCTCTAGGGAACTGACCGACTTTCCAAGGGCATCGAAGTCTATGTCGTCCGAGAGGGCGAAATACATACCCATTCAGATACCTAGTATAGGGCCCGAGCAGAGAGACGGGAACTCCCCCCGCAGCGGCGCTCCACGTCTGGAAGCGCGTTCAGCTGTGTCACCACGAGGGCATCGGACAGCCGAATTAATTGAATTTCTCCGGGAAGGACCGCCGAATATCGGGGCTCACCAGGTTCCACGCACAGTTGGCCCGTCTCGGGAGACCATGGACATGGACGAATTGAGACAAGGAGCTCCTTCTGTTGCCAGCACACGAGGAGCCTCAATGGCTACTCGGTCACTTGCTTCCGTCGGTTCTCGCACAGCCCTTCTCGAATCCGCCAACCGTTCAACTGCACAAGGCGGCTCCTCGGTTAATGCGGCCAATCTGTCCAGCTATGGGGATTCTACTGATCCTCAGCCGGCGCGGAAACAACGTCGGGTGCGGGATCCTTACGCTATTGATGACTCGGACGACGACGAATATCTTGAAGAGCTTCTAGAATCTTCCAAGCCTAAACGGGAGGAAGAGAGCCTGATAGATTTCCTGCGCAATGTTCCTCCGCCGGAGGTTGAACCCCAGCCTCTAGCCTTGAATATGCCCACATCGAAAAGTACTTCCACAGGATTTGGAAGTGCGTCAGCCATGAAGGCACGGCTTCTTCGGAATACTTCCTTTGACAAGACCCTTTCCGTGAAATCCTCGAAATCATCGCTGCGTCAACAACAACAAGAAGGTTCCTTGACGGGACAGTCGAATTATACTGTCAAGGTTGGCATGGAGCGCAACGGAGGAGCAGTGCACGCTGGATACGGGTTGTCCGCCGTGCCGGAAAAGCAGACCGAAACCAGTGCGTTAGCGAGCTTTCTCAGGAGCACAGGTCCTCCGGAGCCTCCTACTGATCGGCGACCCTCCTTGTCTGGTAGCAGAGGCAAAGATTCGAGTGGCTTTACCCGTCTGTTTGTTCGTCGCAAGAAGGTTGAAGTTTGAAGCACCAGATTATATATACCCCTTCTTCTTTTATTTTTCTCTCGTCTTGGTCTAGACCACTCTTCCAATTCCTTGCGACTATGAAATTGTTATATGGTTGGCAGATGACATGTGTCTTTGAGCGTTCTGAGCCAGTGACGAAACGTTCCTTGCGTCTTATTCTTCTTTGTGATACTCCTTGCAGTGATATGCCTACGATTTCTTTGCGCATGCAAACTTATGTTGGCTTTTTCTCGCGCTGCACTCACTTGGCTGTCTCATGTTTCTTTCCCCTTTCTTGTTTCATTGTCCGCATCAGGACTCTCCCAACTTGTTGAGAGAAGGCCTGCACTGGAGTGCGATTGTATATATAATGCTTTTGGGTCGCCAGTATTCGGGCCGCCCCCTGAGCCGCTACATTCTTTCTATGTCAGCAAAAAATTTCATATTATCCAGGATTATATCCACCATCAGCCCATCAACCGTAGAGACTAGTAGTGCGTTGACATCCGCGGCGAGGCCTGGACGTGCGTCGTCCACGATTCAGTCGTACTTTCCTTCCCAAGCAATTCCATAGAAGACGGCCTGATCAAATCAGTTCCATGTCTTCAATGCGAAGACAAGAATAGCATAGTTTCTGTGTTAGTTTGATACTACTGGAGGAGACGGAAAATCTTTAATCCGGCCATTCTCCGTAGACGCGGCGTGGCTTCAATAATGGTGTAAAGCCCCATCGCAGCTCAAATATACCGACAGAACAAGCCACGACCTCTTTGTCGGCCAATTATTCCTCGACAATGGGCACCTCCTCACGATCCAGCACGAGGACACTCCTCGGTATCTTCTTCCTGCTCCTTGTCCAGCTCTCATCCGCTTTGAAATTCGACCTGCAAGCCAACAGCGGGCACAACGAGCGATGTATACGCAACTTTGTCTTCAAGGACCAATTGGTCGTTGTGACTGCTATTGTGAGCGGGCAGAAGGGTGATGGGCAGGTTGTGAATATGCACGTATGTTGATCCTTACCACTGCCCAGGGAGGTTTTCGGGTTTTGGTCGTGGGGCTACTTTCCGGCTTCGTTATTTACTGTTATCGGGGTTACTGGAGCGATGCTTACTGTTTTCTTTGCTATAGATTAAGGATGCGCTTGGGAATGACCATGGTCGGCCTAAGGATATCGCGGGCGAGACTCGTCAGGCATTCACCTCTGTTGCGGACACCGCGTTTGATGTTTGCTTTGAGAATAAGCTGGTTTCCCACCGTGAGTTTTCACCCTTACTTTACCTAGCTTCGCATGATACCGCGGCGTGGATACCGCGGCGTGACTGTTTTGACTCGGGAGCTGATCTAAACCGGTCCAGATGGTGTTGCAAACCCGTACAAGTCTGTCGAGCTCGATGTCGAGATTGGCGCCGACGCCCGTGACTGGTCCAGCGTTCAGGCTGCGGAGAAGCTCAAGCCGGTCGAAACTGATCTCCGTCGTATCGAGGAGATGGTGGCGGAGATCGTCAACGAGATGGAATACCTGCGGGCCCGCGAACAGAAGCTGCGGGATACAAATGAGAGCACCAACGAGCGCGTGAAGTGGTTTGCTTTTGGCACTATGGGAATGCTGGTCGGACTGGGTGTTTGGCAGGTTATATACCTCAGGGCTTACTTTAGGTATGTTGAGCTCCCGTGTCGCTCTTTCCGTCGTGGAGTTTGATGGTGTCGTGGCTAACTGCTGCTCTTGTTACGAACAGGTCGAAGCATCTTATCTGAGATCTTGTCGTGTTGTGTTTTGATCCCTACCTGTCTCATGTGGACAAGGTTGCTCATGGTTGATTCTCCGTTGAATTACATGACAGACACGGAGTTTTCAGTCGTATTTGAGGGATTCGGCCTCGTGTATTTTCAGGTATATTTATGGTGCATTGCTTCAATTTCCGTACTTATGAAATGACACCTGTAATGAATAGAAGTGCTTCCAGGGTGTGCTCCTCCTTTGTAGTACTATATCACTTGAGAAATGAGCGTCTCACGCCTTCACCCTGACTGTTCTGGGATTTATAACCGGAGACGCCGCTACTCGTAGGGAGTCGTTGTGAAAGGGTTTTGGCGATGAGACCAAGCTTTTGCAACATGCAGTTACATCTGAATTCCTCTAATCCATCTATTTGATACATTGTATCCTTGCTGTCGGTAGTGATCTCAGTCAATTTCGTCTTGTACTCGAGCTATACCAATCTCAATCGGCATGTTTAATTGGTGCAAACGCTGCAAACAGCACGCAGCATTGCCGCGGATGATGTCAATTCCGTGCCATTATCTAATGTGCCTACTTTGGATATTGGGCTTCATTGACTAGAGACACTCCGCTGTTAAGCTTCTATTTCAAATTCGTCTTGACTAGAAGCTTTATAATGTCTGCCCCACGGCTCATTCAACGCCTTTCGCGACCCTCAAGGTCGCCTTTCTCCCTCACAGCAACAATTGTCCGTCGCTCCTTCGGCAGCTCGGCTGTTCGTCCAAATGATGGCGATGGGAAGGATCGAGCGCCCTCCACAGCTACGGAGCACCGCAAATATCAGACTTCGAGGCCCCCAAACCAAGCTGTGCCCCATTCAACTTCGACTATGACCAATGACTTCCCCAGTGTCGGCGAGAGAACCCCGCCCCCGGAGGTCTTGAGCTCGGTCGATCCGAACTATAAGCCGGTAGATCCTTATCCTGGCCGTGTTGAGCATTACACTGGTGGTAGACAGCAGCCCGGTGCGCAGAAACCGGAGCTTGGTGTTGGGGAGATGGAAGGGATTACCTTCAAGGTTGAGCCGCTGAAGCGAACTGGAGAGGACCCGGCGACCATGAGGGCTCGCTTGTTGTGTAAGTTTAGTTCTTGCCGTTCGCTTCCTACGGTCCTTGGTCCTTGAAGCTAATAGAGGGACCAAATGCAGACCAGAGTAGAAAGCGAGGTATCCTCGAGTCGGATCTGCTGCTATCCACATTCGCCGATGTCTATCTGAAAGATATGACGCCAGAACAGCTCCAGGAATACGACCGTTTCCTGGACGAGAATGACTGGGACATCTACTACTGGGCTACGCAGGATCCCCCGTCTGCCGAGGATGGCCCAGCCGAGGATACCGTCACAGAGACGTGGAAACGCACCGGAGCCAAGAGCGGTGAGTGGAAGCAGACCGTTGGTGCTTACAAGGCTGCGTATAGGCCTGTCCCCTCGCGGTGGGCCGACTCGGAGGTCCTCAGGCTTCTGAGACAGCATGTGCGCGATAAGAGCGCTGTTGGATTCCATGCTGCGAAGAACAAGAAGACTGGGGGTACTGGGCTGGGACGAATGCCCGATATCCAGGTCTTTGATAAATAGACTTTTACTGTTACTACTAATGGGCAGATCAAGGTATGACGCAAAGGGACGGATATTTGTGTACTGTATATCTCAGCTTGTACTATATAGTATGCCTTGAATATTTTGATGCACTCTCTGCTCGAGATATCAAAGCCTTCACAGCATTGTCTCTTATGGTATCCCAGGGTACGTGACTATAGTCCTCGGCGTATGCTAGGGTGCTGGTCGTTGTATGCTCAAATTGGTCAACTCGCAGAATCGCGATACGACCATCATAACCTGGATGAATAAGCTCATCTCAACCTTTCGATTGCAGTGAGCTATCGAGATCTTTACTCTGTATAGTTCCGGGTCATGTGACTCGCTTAGGCTTAGGGCTTGGGGACCACACAACCAGCGGCAGAACGGGCTAGTTTAGGGCTTAGGCGGGCAACGCTGGTTCTGCTCCTCCATCCTCAAGCGCTGCGATTTTATCTCAGGCCCAGAGTCAACGACAATTGCTCCGCCCGCGTTCATCCTCCTCCCTCCTCTCGCGGCCCCTTCATCGTCAATATGGCTGAGCAGATGGTTCTTCGTGGTACCCTTGAGGGCCACAATGGCTGGGTTACTTCCCTGGCTACCTCTCTGGAGAAGTAAGGGAATACCGAATATCGAAAAAATTGCAAGAAAATCATATGCCGAAAGGATGAAGAAACGTTTGTTTTGGAAGACTTTGGGCATTGGTTGAGCACATGGACAAATAGATTCTGACTTGGATGTTTCTTTCGAATAGCCCCAACATGCTGCTCTCTGGCAGTCGCGACAAGACCCTGATCGTCTGGAACCTTACCCGCGACGAGCAGGCCTACGGTTACCCCAAGCGCAGCCTCGAGGGTCACTCCCACATCGTCTCTGACTGTGTATGCTACCCGAAATCCCATTGAGCTTATAGAGAGTACAAGGATTGGCAATCGCTGGTGGAGGAAGCCGAAAAAGTATCACGAGATTGGCTGACCGCGTGTGTGTTTCCGTGCAGGTCATCTCCTCCGACGGTGCCTATGCTCTGTCCGCCTCCTGGGACAAGTCCCTCCGCCTGTGGGAGCTCGCTACCGGCCAGACCACTCGTACCTTCGTTGGCCACAACAACGACGTCCTCTCCGTCTCCTTCTCCGCCGACAACCGCCAGATCGTCTCCGGTTCTCGTGACCGCACCATCAAGCTGTGGAACACCCTCGGCGACTGCAAGTTCACCATCACCGACAAGGGCCACGCCGACTGGGTTTCCTGCGTGCGCTTCAGCCCCAACCCTCAGAACCCCGTCATCGTTTCTGCTGGCTGGGATAAGCTCGTCAAGGTACGTTTATCCAGTCTTCCCTGGCGCGATGTACACCCGAATACGAAACTGTCTTCCCAAATGATGTTTTGCATAAACGTATTTGCTACTTCAGAGCCTTCCACGGCCATGAGACAAACATTCACCAATGCCCTGATGGACACTTCGCAATTTGATTTTGCACCTTTTTGCATGGGACTAGCCCGTTTATTCTCCTGCGAGGTTGAAGCTAACACAACGTACCCATTAGGTTTGGGAGCTCGCTTCCTGCCGCCTCCAGACCGACCACATCGGTCACACCGGTTACATCAACACCGTCACCATCTCCCCCGATGGATCCCTCTGCGCCTCCGGTGGCAAGGACGGCACCACCATGCTCTGGGATCTCAACGAGTCCAAGCACCTCTACTCCCTCCACGCTGGCGACGAGATCCACGCCCTTGTCTTCTCCCCCAACCGCTACTGGCTCTGCGCCGCCACCGCCAGCTCCATCACCATCTTCGATCTCGAGAAGAAGAGCAAGGTTGATGAGCTCAAGCCCGAGTTCATCGAGAAGAGCTCCAAGGCCCGTGAGCCCGAGTGTATCTCTCTCGCCTGGAGCGCTGATGGCCAGACTCTGTTCGCTGGTTACACTGACAACAAGATCCGTGCCTGGGGTGTCATGTCGAGGGCATAGATGATGACGAGCGTTTAGGCGGAGGAGAGGAAATCCATGTTTTTTCTTTGTTATAAAAAAGAAAGCGCTGGCATTGGTTGGAATGTATGAGCCATGAGCAATGAAGCACTCCGGGCCTGGGCCCAGGGTTTTTCTCCGACATGTCTAGCTTACTTGATTCGTTATAAACTTCGTACGTCTGGAATCTTGTCAAGGTCGGCATGCCGAATGTTCTAATACCAATTAAAAAAACATACTATAAAAATCTATTTATCTTCCTACTCTTCAATCGTATCACTGCCGGTTGATGGGGGCTTTGTCTACATAGTGCCCTCTTTGAGTCAACTCGCTGCTGAAACATGGCGATTTACGCCTCTTGACAGTCGATAAGGTAGCAACCTCGAATTGTTTTCATTTTTATACTATTGTACAGTCATGACATGGCCTCTGTGTTGTACACAGAATGCCATCATTTCTTCAATTGCGCCAGAGCTTCCTCCACATGCGCGGCATTCTCTTCGAGTCCCAACCCCCGAGCTAGAGACTTGGCCTCCATCCAATACTGTTCGGCTTCTTTCCGCTTACCCTGCAGATGAGCAATTTCTCCCAGGTTATACAATGCCGCAAGGCAGGACATATCACATTCTTCGTCGCGGATAGGAGGCTGCAGTTTAGCAGCAACGTCTAGGGCCTTTTGGGCCCACTGGTTGCCCGAGTCGATGAGCTGTTGAGGTGCGGCAGTAGACCCACGGGAAGGAGTCTTCTTGTGTAATTCCCCGGTGATCGCGGTAGACACGTCGGCGAGGAGCGTCACCTGCTTGCAAGAGGGGGTGCTGCCTTCGTCTGTGCGCAGGAGGTCCAGCGCGCGCAGCAAGAGTGGCATGGCGAGCTCATTCTTCTCCTGCTTTAAATATGTCTGTCCCAGATCTGTGAGTGCAGTGGCAATCTCGGAGAGATTCAGCCAGGCTGTACTGGCGTCTTCCGAGGCACTCCCGACGGGAAGTCCGAGCTCCTGGCGACGGCGGAGCTCCTTCAGACAGAGTTCCACCGCGGCTTCCTGGTAGCTTTCGGCTTTCTTCTCGTCCTGGATGTGGTCGCTTGCGTACAGCTCTGCGAGTTTCATGTGGATGCCGACTACCTTCTTCAGGACCTTGTCTCGCTGACGGTCTTCGTACTCGTCCAGCTCCTTCATCTTCTGATGCATTGCTAGCGCGTCCGGATCGTCGATCTGAATCGCCTCCGTCACCGCTTCAGCTTCAGGCCTCTGTGCATCCTTCTTCTTTCTACCTTCTTCCACCCACTTCAGGCACTCGGTCTTTGTGCGCTCGAGGACCTGAATGGCGGGTTTCACCAGCCCGGCCTTCTCAAGCATCATCGATACCTGGATATGTATTCCTATCATCTCATCAGAGAACGGATGCATGCCCAGCTCGACCGCCTTCCTCAAAGCCTCCTTGTATGCCTTCAGCGCCTTGGCTGGATTGAGATCAACTTCAGTGTAGTAGACGGCCGTCCGGAGTGACTCGGCAACTGGAGGTGGGAATTTGTGATACTGCGGGCCGACGCGTGTCAACTCCACGTAGGATATATATGCGAATATGGCAGTGGCTCCGGCGAGGGAGATAATGGCGAGTGGGAGGAGGATGGGATTCTTGCGCCAGATTCCTTTCGACGCTTCCTGGAAGCCGCGTTTCATCCGCTGTCCATAGCTAAGTTGTCGGCATTGAGGACGGGTATGTTGTAGTAAAGAGAATGGGGTTTGTGATTGTGTTTGAAGTGATGATCTGGTGCTGTTCCCCGTTTGACATCTGTGTGACGCCGTGCGTGTCGAGAGAGCTCTGTTGCATTGTAGGTTTCTCGGCCTAACGATGAAGGCGCAGGCGCGCCGTGATGCTGTACTAAACATTGTCTGATTTTTCTGTGAATCGTCAAGTCATGAACTGGCACCCGATCGTATGTTAGGTGGTGAAACTGTGGATGAAAGCGATCGAAAAACTGCGGCGAGAGAGACTGAAATTCAAATCGAGCATCTATCAAATTCAAGGGTTTTAGTGGTCCAAGCTTCTCCACCTGCGGATATGATATGACGTCGAAGTCATCTCTCTGCGCCAGCACTATCGCTCTTTCAATAGCTGTTTCATCTTCAGAAATAATATTCTAAATCAACGTGCGCAATAACTTCCTGGTGTAGGAACGTGGCGCCTCCAACATGTGTGGACGGTATGCCCTTGGAGTGGTGCGTAGCCCCCGATAATCCCAGTGCTTCTATGTGTCGTGCTGATCTTATCGCTAGCGGATGGCATTTGTCCGACGCCGTCTGCAGGAGCAAGGCATGCAGGTTGACGAGGTCCCGGAGGACGATGAAGTGAGAGAAACATACAATTTTGCACCAGGGTCTAACGGTGCTGTCTACCGAGCCGATGTCTCTGACCGCGGGTTCGTTGACGACGCGCAAGAGCAAGACACTACAGACCACCCGCAGGAGCTATCTTCAGAAGCAGTCGACAGTGTAGAACAAGACCATGATAGGAAATGGAGGTACAAGATTCAGAGCATGAGGTGGGGCCTCATACCATTTTGGACAAAGAGGAAACCTGATTACGGATCTCTGATGCGAACGATCAATTGTCGTGATGACTCTTTGATCGAGGATCGCGGGATGTGGACGTCCATGAAGCGGAAGAAGCGATGCATTGTGATCTGCCAAGGCTTCTACGAATGGTTAAAGAAGGGACCTGGAGGTAAGGAGAAGATCCCTCACTTCATCAAGCGCAAGGACGGGGATTTGCTGTGCTTTGCCGGACTGTGGGATTGCGTGTCGTATGAAGGTATTGAATCCTGTCTGCTATCTTTGCGATGTTCGTCGTCCGCTGACGTCCAGGTACAGGCTCGGACGAGAAGCTTTACACATATACCATCATCACGACTTCGTCAAACCCGTACTTGAAATTTCTCCACGATCGAATGCCAGTGATACTCGAGCCCAACAGCGAAGCGATGAAGATGTGGCTGGATCCCGAACGGATAACTTGGTCCAGTGAACTGCAGTCCATTCTGAAACCATACGAAGGGGAATTGGAATGCTATCCGGTCTCCAAGGATGTTGGCAAGGTGGGAAACAACTCGCCCGACTTCATCATTCCGATCAACAGCAAGGACAATAAGAGTAATATCGCCAATTTCTTCGCCAATGCGAAGAAACAGAAGGGTGGAGCGGTCTCCTCCTCAAGGGATGAGGACGCCAAGGAAACCTTGCACTCTGTCGAACAAAAGGTGGTGAAAGATTTGGATGAGCCGCGCAAGACCCAGGACAGTCAATGGAGTGAAAATAATGCTCCGCTGCCAGAACCAGGCGTCAAAAGAGAGTACCCTCCGGACGGCGATGACATTGGCAATGAAGCCCCGAAGAAACAGAAAACCGAGCCAGCACCTTCACCCTCCCCAACAGAAAAGGCTCAAGAGCTCAAGGCTAAGTCTGAGCGGAAGACGACCACATCGAGTAGAAAAACGCGAAGTGCAACACACAACGACAAGCCTCTAAAGAGAACAAATGGGAAGACGACTGATGGTTCTCAGCGAATCACAAAATTTTTTCAGAAATGACAGCCACAAATGCACAGGCATCATGATGGTATGCATAGTGTTTTTGCACCCTTCAAAATCAGGAAAATGGGTCGTGGCTTGCAGTACAATCTATCCGGCCTCAACACGCGCAGACACTGAGCCTGCATTGCGGCATAGCAGCCCAATCACCTAATGACAAATGAATGTAACGAGCCAACTGTCCAGCAGTTTCCATACTCATAGTGTTCACATATGTGGTATTATAGTACACGTGAGATCATGGTGTTACATAGCTCGGTATAACCCCCAGCGTGAAGCGGAGGTTGCCTTATTGTAGCTCACGTAGTCTTTGTACCAGCTTCTCTCTTAGAAAAGGACTCAATCCGAGTCTGCAGCGCAACATGTCAGATTCAGAACTAGTCGAAGGACGAGGGCACTCACATTCCGTCTCTAGTAACGATTCTGTAAGTGCCTGTTTTCTGGTTAGCTCGAAATTGCGCCAAATTTGCCTCATGAGTATGTAATCGTACCGCTTGGCTGATAATTCCCATTGTCTCCGACAAATTTCCCGTTCGCATCAACTTCTAGACTGCCGAAGATATCCTCGGGCCTACCAGCTCGTTAGTGGTTCAATTGGACACTCGGCGAAAAGGGTTGCTACCATGCAATACGACCAAACTCCGGAGGTCTCCTGCTGTCGGAAAGGTGTATCCAGCCGCCTCTACCAGCAGAGCCGACACCACCCTGGCCACTGGCTCCCCCGCTAGAGTCCTTGCTCTCTCGCCGTCTTCTGCCACCCTGTCCTGTCATCAGGAATCCTCCCGAGCCTATATTAGCCCCAGATGTGGAAACCATAACTTGGGCTTGAGAGATAGCGTCCGGATCTTTGTGGCCGTACTCAGAAATGACCTCTTGTAGGATCTTCAGGAAGTTGGAATTCCCCCTGAAAGAGTCCGTCGAAGGAGGTAGCTTGGATGTGACGCCAATTGCTGTTTTGGGATTGACAGGCTCTGAAGACAAGAGCGACAAGGTATGACTTCCACTTTGGGGTTTATTCGAGAAAACATACTGTGACTGTGAGCCCGAGAAATGGCAGACACTGTCAGAGTGGCCGCAAAACTTACGATATGGGGATTGCCTTCTAGGGTAGACAGTGTGCGAATCTGGCACCATTTCGGTAACCTGAGCGGCTGTCGCGCAAAGGACATGGACGAGATCATATTGTAAATATATCGCTGACTCGAGGAGCAGTCGATCGGTTTGCACAGAATTATTTGGAGCTTCAATTGCTGCTTTGCCTATGACGCTGTTGAGACAAACAAGACAAAATCATGTGATCCTGTGGAGTTCGATACCAGCAATTTATTGTTGCTGCTTTTGTACGCCTTGCGACGGTGTTCCATGCCTTTCCTCCCATTGACGATTTTGCTGATGGCTTCCTTCCATTCTTTATCCGG